ATCCCCCAGAAAAATCACCATTTTTAAAGATAAACCATTCCCAAATAATATCAGCAGTATGATTCTAATATAGAAATGTGGGTAAAACAAAAATGAAATAACCCCCAGTCATCACCATAAATATATAGGTGGTATATCCAAACCATTCCCAGTCATGGCTGGTAGACATGACATTGTTTTAACCACATTAAATGGGATAAGTCGCGAATCGAGGAACGAATCCGATCACCAGGGTTATACGAACCACTTACTATAGTGGGATGAGCCTCCAAGCAATCCCTTCCCTAATGGTGTCAACACTCCCCAGAAAGCATATAGTAGGGGATTTACATGTTTGAACCATTTCGGGGATGTTTATATCATATTAGTGGGATGGTTTAATATTGGGTGTTCCACACTATTGACCATCACTGAAGGGATCACAAGCAGCAGGCTTCTGATGCGGCAGTCTATCAACGCCCAGCGCCCAAGACGGGGAGATCCCGGGGTTATGGCCAGCAAGATGGCATGATTTAGCCATAGGCCAAGGAATTGTTTGAAACTGGGACCCCAAAAAACAGTGGTGTATGATCATCATCTTCCAATGAAATGACCATATGGTGGATATACCTCATTTCTGGAACTGGATGGGTAGTTTAGTACTGACTGTAAGTTTTGTGCCATTTTCAGTGGGGATGTATTACCTCCACCAATATTTGAAAAAAATGCAGAGTATCTAAAATGGGGGCCTAAAGAGTTGGGAGTTTAGCAGAAGAAAGTTTGGGTTCAGAAATGTTCGTTCCCATGATGTGGTGGCCACGGCCCTTCCATGAGACGGAGAGTATTGACAGATGCCCATATGACCGCCAGTTGACATGCTCGGGGATATGACAACCTGAACGGATTCTAGCCATATATGCTTCGATGCTTGTTTCTTTTGTGATTCGGTGGGATCCCACAGTATTCATCAGATAGCAATGGTTTAGCAATTCTCCAACACATGGAATAGTTCAATCGTATGACTGGGTGAATAAACCTTGGATGGTTAGTTTAATACTTCATGTGTTTGGCAGCAAATGGTGATGATATGTACTAACATATACACCAGGGTATCTAAGATTGACATCGATAAGAATATATCCCAGTAAAATCACTGAGGCTTGTCAACTTTGCATTGTGGTGCCCTCGAGATATGTTTGTTGCTGCATTATCATCCATACTCGTATATACTCGTAATCAACATAAACCCAACACTTAACATATAGTCCACATATTTTGTCCATATATGTCACTACCCACTGGTCCCATCCACATTGTTGATGAATCCCCCATGTTGTCTCCATTCTATTTCCATGAAATTCCATGAAATTGTTAATCCTGATGAGTTGTTTGCTCCAACCCTGGTTCTTTTTCTCAAAAAAAAATGCTGACTCACATTTACAATCCAGTTAAAAACATCATCAGCGTTGAAACCCATGAAATCCCAGTCAAATCAGCATGGAATGCCATGGAAATCCCATTCAAATCAGCATTGAATCCCATTAAAACACCATTTTTGTTGGTTCAATTGCTATTTTCATATCTGGTTGGTGGTTTGGAACATTGTTTATGAATTTCCATTCAGTTGGGAATGTCATCATCCCAACTGACGAACTCAATGATTTTTCAGAGGGGTAGGTAGGTATACCACCAACCAGATATGGTTTTTGGTTCTCAAAACAAGCAGCAGCGTTTTGCTTCTCGTCCTTCGCTGAGGCCTTCACGAGGAAGCGGAGTTGAAGAGGTGGTGGTCGTTTGCTGACTTGGGTTCCCCACTTGGAGGATCATCCCATAAATCTCAAGTGGTTACCCTCTGGTTATGACTAACAGTTTGCCATGGTATAGATGGCCCATAGAAATAGATGGTTCACCTATTAAAAATGGTGATTCTCCATGGCTATGTTAAATAACCAGATGGTATATATGAACACCAATCAAAACCAATTCGATTTTTTATTTGGATTATATGGGTTAAATGGCTTATAATGGCTTATAATCCCACGAACTATAGCTGGTTGGTGGTTTGGAACATGTGCTATTTTCCATTTCATATATGGGTTGTCATCCTTCCCATTGACGAACTCCATCATTTTTCAAGGTGGTTAAAACCACCAACCAGTATTATGGGGCTGGCTCAAAACCTATCAAAACCTATCCACTAAATCTTATTGGGATGAACATTTGCCAGCTATTTTGGGGTAGGGCACCCAGGATTTTGACCCACAACCACGTATATATATATATATATTTTTTATTATAGATATATAATATTATATATTATTATCCGTATATATATATAATGTTATATTATATATTATAGATATTTTCTAATATTATACATATATTGTTTCATATCAATTTAAAAACAACATGGAAATATATAGGAACAATCGGAATATGACCTGTTTCTAAGGTGGTGCCCTAGTTTGTTAGCTGCTGTTAGCTAAGTTGATGCAAATATAACTCCAATTTCACTACGGTTTATGGTAGATGTGGCGAACTCGTCAATACTGTGGGTGGAAGAAATCCTGCAGCAGTTGGTAACTATTGGTAACTATGAAACACTGTAAATAATGGGATCATAATGGGACAAGCCATCTACCAACTGATGCAGGATTTGTTCCATCCACAGTAGTTTTTTTTCCAACTTATGACATTGGCAACATTCTGAGGCCACAGTTAAAAACATAAAAAATAGACGTGACAAAAAGTTGCTATTTCATGCTATTTCTATGGATATTTCAATGGGGATGACTATTAAATGTATTTAAACGTCAACCATTTACACTTACGGCCCTTTCCCACTTATAAGTCAGTGAAATCACCACATTTATGGAATCACAACCCCATTGAAATAACCATAGAATAGCAATTTATCACTGGTATTTTGGGCTTTGACTGTACAATAATATCTCAATGCATTTAATAAACACACCTTGTATACATATGTATATATATATGTATATTATATATATATACATATTAGGGAACCAGGGTTGATAACCACTTGTCTTTTTGGATACCTCTGGAAGTGCTGGCTTTGGTTGAAAATGGTGTCCGGACGCCACGCCGATTCGTGACCTCATCATCGCACTTGTCAGCGCGCGGATGATCCGGCCAGAACACTCTGAGGCCAGGCTGATTTTGCGGCAATGAAGATTCTGATTGAATTGGTTTAAGGGAAAATTTACAAGAAACCATAGATTTTCCTGTTAAATATGGGTCTTTCCTGTAGATTTTCCCTTAAACCAATCCATTGAGATTCGTTCCGCTTCGGGCACAGCGCTCACAGATCTGGAAGCAGATTTCCACAATTTGATGTGGCCTATCCGCTTGAACACCATCATCGTTTCAGCACAGTCGGCACTACGGGGAGGCGCAGGTGACCTACATGCAGCCCCTCCTTGGCTGAATGTGACCCAGTGTCCCTTGCTAATGGGTAACATTTGGCCCAGTGAGAGTCCGTTTTCCTCTGAGAGTATCTCAGTATAATATATTTTAAATATTCATATATATGGTCAACGCCATAATTTAGAACGGAAGTTGAGGAGTACGAAAGTACGGTAAGTTTCCGTTCCCTCTGGTTCCATAATTTCCGAATTTCCCCAGAAAACGTGGTAAACAAAAGAGTCTATATTTACTCCTACTTTTGTGATTGTTCTACAATTCTTGTTGGTGTCTGGTGGTGGTCCATAATTATTGTGTTGTCCCCTGTGCTTACTACCTTTACCAACTCTGTTCTATGATTCCGTGTTCTATAATTCTATTTTGCCGGGGGTCACCGCAAGATGAAATTTGCATATGAGAACCTAATATGATATAGTGAGTTCACGGGATTTAATGGGACTTTATGATATGATACAACATGATATAATATCATAACATGTACCCAAAAAACAAAATTAACCATAGAACACTCACATTCATTATAGGAGAGACCAAAGTGTTTCGCAAAACCTTCTCAAAGATCAGTACAACAGTACTGTGTTTTACCGTACTTTGTACTCCATATTCTGTTCGATAGTGTTGACACTGGTTTTATCAATAGTTACATTTGCATATTATCATGTTTTGCATGTATATATACATATATTTGTGCCATCCAATGGCAAGTATTTTTGGCAAGAGTCAGGTTTTCAAACCAAACACTGGCAGCCAGCGACACCATGTCTTGCTCCAGATATTTTTTCCTCACCAAAGGAAGTTTAGTTAGAAAACTTCCGGGTTACAGACGCATGATCATGGGTCTTCCAAGGATTGCCAAAATTGATCGCAGTTTGGCAAAAATGATAAAGAGCCATGCAGTTTCGATGTTCCAAGTATTCTTGATACCTCTACATTTACTGAATTTATACATAAAAAATCATTTATTTATTTATTTACATACGCATTTGCAGAAACAACGAGATACATATACATGGTACATGTCATGTTATTTGTGATGTTGCCTTTCATATGCCTTTCATTTTGCCAAACTCAGTTCCCACAGGCAGCGCTTGGAACAGCGTGAAAAGGCAGTGTCAGAGCCGCAAAAGGGGGGTTGCGTGATGGGAGTTGATGGTTTACCAGCAGTTTTAGGATTAAATTTATAGGTATTTATAGTGAATGATGGGTTTTCAATGGAATATGTTTAGATTTCTGTTGATCTAAGATCCATTGCCAGACTCTGGTTTCGGTTTTGTAAATATGGGCCAGCTCCCAAACTTCCTGGTTGATGACTAGAATGGGGTTGTTCAATATAGATAGTGTACCGGGCACCGGAAGATCTGAAGAAAAGAACCGCAAATCTGAAGATCAAAATGAGATGTCTATGGATGATTGGCACTCCGCAAGTGCGCCATGTTTTGACACCGTGGCACGTCTGTCACTCAAGGGGCCCCTAGTTTTTGGGCCCATAGGATTCGGCCATCAAACCTGAACATGTGATTCGAACTGAAGCATGCAACTGAACACACCAATACAAATATCCTCTCAGTTCGAAATCATCGAATTATATCCACGCCAAAAGTTCTGGAAAAAGGATCTTCACACCACTCTTCCAAAGTGTTGGCTATGTTGGCTTTCTGTACAGCTGCCAATCTTCGCAGTCTGGCCTGCTTTCTTGCAGATACAAAATCATTCTCGAATTTCAGGATCCAACTTTTACGACTATGGTAGAGTGCTATTGTCCTCATAGAATCAGTCGTATACTTGGTTAAGGAATCCGCTAGATTCAAATCACTTGGAACCCAGGCTGGATGACAATTTGATGTTTCATCCATGCCCTGACTTGCAGACAAAATGTCTACTGATGACTTGGCATTCTCCATTGATAGACCTGGAGTTTCTGTCCCAGTTAAAGCATCATAACAACCTCTACTGTCCATGATTACAAAACTGAGACACTGTGCAGCCAATTCGTATGCATTATCTCTCATCAAAGGCATTCCATACATAATGCTCCAGAGAAGTCTTGCCTTCCACCCTTTGTCCTCAGCTTCGGCAATGCTCTGGGCTTCGCTCGAATTGCTACCAGCTGCCACTCTTCTCAACTTCCATGACCGCCAGTCCAAGAGACTTACAGGTGCTTCACGATTTTGAATTATTTCTGGAGTGGACATACCTATGATTAAACCACCAGTGGATTCATTGTTTGGTCGATTTTTGTGAGAAGCATCTCCCCAATTCAGAAAAACCACATCGCGCCATGACAGTTTCTCATGAGTTTTACGTCCATAATTGAAAGAATGAAAAACAATGTCCTCCTTCGCCGTCTTCCGGAGATCACGCATAATGTGATTCGCTTCCTGCAGCAAACGCAAGGTGGGTTTGTTGATTTCTGAACTTGCCAAACTTATACGGGCACAATATTGTGGGGCTGATTGTAATGCCCTCCACTGTGCTTTCATCAGCAGAGCTCTTGTCTGACTGACCTCATGTGGGGTCAAAGAATCACTGGAGGATCGGCTCTTCTCGTTTTCAATAACCACTGGTTTCAAACTGTTGCAAAAATCTTCTTGACTGACATGAATGGAATATGTCATAGTTTGAGACAATTTGCAACCTGAAAACTCGAACTCACCTTGTTGCCATGGGCTCCAACGATACATGCTGCGAAAACGCTCTCGAAAATCCACCCACGCTGGATTCTGCATGTCTCCTCCAAAGAGAAAATCATCCACTTGAGATCCTAACCTTCCGCACACCACACCGTTGGAATCTTTTACATACCACATGCAACGATCTAAGGGATTTGCGATTGCTCCAATTGCCTTCAGTTTTCGATCAGCATCAAGCCAAAAGATCCTGGGGGCGTTCGTAAGGCCATAAATAGCTCCTAGTACACGTAACCATGTACCTGGTTTTACGCCCCAAGCATGTGCAATCTCTGGAACCGCTTTTGTCCATATCATACGTCCTTCTTCCTGATTGTCCGCCTGCAAAAATGCGGATTTTGCATCTGCGGACTCCATAGTATGCTGATCCAACGCTATTGACTGTAACAAAATATGTTTGCCTAATCTTGATATAGTGGGACTTGAAGTTTTCAGCACGGGTCTCCCAGTTTTCTCATTCTTCTTGACAAGATCTGGATGACGAAATCCAATCATGACTACTCGTGCTTTTGCCTTCCTATCACCACTTGCCACTAGCTGTTGCTACATGAGGACCTGGACCTTTAGGAGGTTCTGGTGGATGAAGAGGTTTCCATGTAAGAACCCACCTCATAGGAATATGTCTGTCCTTGTGTCGCTCCACCAATTTCTCTTCCTCCTCTGTGATACGCCGCAAAGCCATCGACTGAATGACTTCTGACACCTCACGTGCTTTGGCCTCATCAAACAAGGATTTCTGTTCGCTGTTGAGTTGGTCGTACCTAACTTCAGTTCCTTTTCTCTCTAGAACCTTCTTCACGTAAAGCGTGGAGTTTGCTACAAAAGCATTCATAGAATCTTGATCCAAGTCGAACTCAATGAACCATGCTGACTTGCCCTGATCATACTCATCTTGTAATATGGAAAGAAGTTGGTGTTCCTCATGTTTCTCGTCTGTAATCTTCTGAATCAGCAATGCAGTTTCTTGTGAATAATCATATTCCTTTCGGATTTCATTCTGAATGGCTTCTTGCACTTCTTTGTCAAGCCTTCGGTAAATTGCCAGGAAGTCTTCGGTTTTCAGCACGCCAGGTGATGTTGTGGTGACAGTGTTCTCATCCTCCATCATTTGGATCGCATGCACTGATGCACTTGGGTCTTGTCTAGGGAAAAGTTCATCTGGTGCTCGGTCTGCTACTTCAGGAAGTTCCATCATGGGTGGTAACCCTTCTCTTCTGCGATTGTTGTTCACTGACACCAGCTGATTCCATCTTCTTGTCAACTCTTTCACTTCACGTTTCTTGCGTTCCTCCGGTGAAATGTTCTCATGTTCATCTGGCATACCACTCCGTTTCGTTCCACGTCTCATTTCTTCTTGCCATTCTTCATGAGAGTCTGCAGGCGGCATAGATTCATCTTCATGGGTAGTTCTCATGGGAGGTGGAACATCTTGTGCTTCCTTGGTCACATCCACATAGCTCTTGAGAAGTCTGATCATATCTTGCTTCGGAGTGGAGGTGATCTTGGTTCCTTTGAGCATCTCCATGGTGACTTCAGCTGTTGTTGCCAATCTGAGTTGCTCTGGAGCACATCGATAGATTCTAGCTCCAAAGAGGACCCATATCACACCTTCTCTTCTATCTGGTTCAACAGTTGGCTCAATGAGGATCACCCTGCCAGGCCCGATAAATCGTGCCTCTGGGTTGTATGTCTCATCCCGTTTTCTGGCCTTCAAAGTAGCTGATCTCCAAATGCAGACATGATCACCAATCTCATACTTAAGTGCTGGTCTTGGGGCTGCATTCAACAATCTTGATGTAGTAGTTCTCGCCCGCTCTTCTCGGTTGATCTCTTCTGCCTTGTCCCGCATTCGCTGAAGATCTGCAAACACTTTGGAACCAAACATGTTCTCCTTGTTCCAGAATAGTGGATCCATCGGGTTTTCACTGGCATCAGGATCGACGCCATAGCACCATTGGATAGGAGAGAAACCCTTGCAACGATCCGTATGGTTGTGTGCATATGCTGCCAAACATCCGACAGATTCAGGTGACATATTCATGTCCTCATTTCGCAGTCTACGCATTGTCCTCTTTGCGGTATTGATCATGTCTTCAGCCACACCATTCTGCCAGTGAGCTTCTCCAGCAGTCACCACCGAACCAATACCTGCCATTTCAAGAAATTCAGGAAAAATCCCTTGTGCAAAAGACTGTTGTGAATCCATAATCACCCATTGTGGTCTTGGACGATGCATCAACCATGTGTTGCTGAAAGTGTCTATAACCTTCTGTCCACTATCAGTTCCTGTGGTGGACATTTCTCCCTTCCAAGTCATAGCAATTGCCATGAAATGAGTTGCCACACATACAAACAGAATATATCGAGCCTTCTGACGTTGAGCTGGGAACGACAAGTCGAAAGCATCCATTGCAACGAATTGCCATGGTCTGGCACAATCTCCTAGGCTCCTAGGAATGATTTTCTGACTACCTCTGAGACTTTCAGTGCAGGATTGGCATTTCAGGTTTCTAGCTTCCTCAATCACCCATGGAGGTAGTCTACGATCTTTACAAAGTCTGGCCAAATTCTTATTCGTGGGATGCCCTGCTGCTCTGTGAAGTTTGTGCAACATCGATCTTGCTTGCTCTCTCTTTTCTGCTGTGACTTGTTCTTGTAGATCTTGTGGCTGTGGTTCATCCATTCGATCGAGCCCTTCATCTTGCAGATCGGTTGGATAGTGGTCTTGAAACTTGTGACATGTCTCGACTGCATCTGCAAACTGTGCATCTGTCTGATTTCGCTGGTATGCATGCTGCACAAGTTCTGCTGATGAAACGTGATGCCACTGCTTCTTCCAAATCTGTACCACTCTCTGCACCATTCGTTGTGGATAAAATGCTGTATTATGTACGGCACTAGTACCCATACCAATAACCTGTCGGTGAGAATGTGTACCATCGCATGTCATAGTTGCTGAGATAGAGAAGTCATAGTCAGCGGTCATAACAAGCCAAGGTTTGTTGATCAATGTACCCTGTGAATCCTTCAAACCAAACATACAACCATGTATTTCGGCAAAATATATAGGTTGTCCATGAACTTGCATCAACCACTTTTTAAAATCACGCCATTCCTTCAAATTCCAACCCTTCACTGCTAACTTCGGCCATTCCATGTAGATATGCACTTTTCCAGGGTTTCTACTGTATGCTGCCTTAAAAATTCGGATCAAATGCCGCACTTCCCTCCGGGTTCGCATGAACTTCTTTTGCCACTCTAATCGTTGCTCCACAGTCCGTTGATTCAAGTTCTGAATTGATGTGACTGCTGTGCATTTCGGCGAACCCCAAACACGAGTAGGTTTGCATCTAGGAATTTGTTTGATCATCTCTTCAACTTTTGTTCTGTTTCCTACATCAAAACCAGATTCCCAATTCCACCGTGTTGCACTGAAGCCTTGTCGTTGTGCTTCTTTTGAAAGAGTAGATTGGGGACTACAGCAAATCTCCCATAAATGTTCAGTCTCTACAGTTCCTTTCAACTCACGAAATGCCTGCGAAGGTTCGAAAATGGTATAGTTCTCCGCAGTGCTGGACACAAGTAAAGACTTTACCACAGGATTGAGAAGCCTTTGCTGACTTTCTTCCCATTCATGCTCTTCTACTTCTGTTTCTCCTCCTTCTTCTCGGCTTGCACTGCTTCGAAGGATTCTTCTGAGTCCACCGGAATTTCCTCCACGGACTCCACTGGCCTTGTCTTCTTCTTGGTCATGGCCTTCGAAGCGGACTTGCTTGGACGAGTTGTGACTTTCTGAGGCCACCACTTTGATCATGTTCTTGACAGTGTTGCCCTGAAGATCCGAGGGTTGCCATCCTGCTGCTCGAAGGCGCTCCAGCGCTTCCGTCACATTGGGTGCATGATCCACCTTGCACTGGGTTGCTGGTGCATTGATCGCCGGAGTATATGCCAGGCGTAGGTTGCATCTTTTGCATTCCTGCCACTGGCCCCACTTGTTGTTGCCGATGACCTCCACATGGCTGCCCATACAGGGCCATTGAGTCTCCAGCATCCTTGGATCTGAGCCCCAGGTAGGTGTCATCCTCCTTGTCTCGTCGAACTGCACTGCCACTTTGCTCTTTGCCTTGGCCTTTGCCTTTCCCTGAGGATAACCCAGGGTGACTCCATCGTCTTTCTTGGTCTCCTCCTCCAACACCTCTTTCACTGCTGCCTTGATCAACTCTTTGATCTCCGTGTTGTTGCTGCTGGCTGCCATGTTCAAGTAAAGGAGCAGGATTTGGTGAAGACAAGGACGGAGATGTGGGAGAACTGCTAAAAGCTTTGTTGCAAACATGGGACGGATTCACTAAAAAGGACCACTCTTCCGCATTCACTGCCAAGTGTTTCTGTTTGACTGACACTGATACATCTGTCTCATTGTCTGTTCCACCAAGCACAAACAAATCGCAAAACTCATCCTGACTCTGCACATGCTGTTCTAGACATCTATCCGCTGAATCATGCCAAGACTGTTCTGTACACATTGGAAAATTATTTGGTTGCACTGCCGACATTTCCAAAACAACGTCTGCTGCAAAAACAACACTTGTTGGCTCCGCTTGACACATGTAGTGAACGGCTTCTGTAGGTATATCTTTTGCTAAATCCAACAGAGCATGACCTTTGCTATTGATTGCTAAAACTCTTGGACATCCTGCAACTTTAGCATGAGAATTAGAACAGTTCAAAATCACGTTCAATTGTCTGAGCTCTCGCATGCCGATCAAAACAGGAACATTGGGAGAAGGCAATGCATAAATCTGCAGTGTTACATTACCCATCTTGACTTGTACTCTATATAGTGCTTGACCCCAACGCCCAGATCCATACCGAAAGTATGGTCGATCAGCTTCCACAATGGTCACCTCAAGGTCTGGTCTAGCCTTTGCTAGTCCCTGCAAAAGGTCTTGAACTGCTTCCTTACCTCCTGCAGTGACCGTGGCTCCTGTGTCAACTACGCCGACTGTCCCACCTGCTTCAGTGGGTGGAGATGAAGAAAGAGAGGTAGATGGCCTCCGGGATCGATGCATCTCGTTGGCATAAATCTGAAAACCATCATCCTCCAGAGCCAGCATTCCTGACTCGTACGTGTCATGATACCAGTTGTTTTTTCCAGACTGGTATTTGCCAAAAGATTTCTGATTCCCTTTGGAAGCCCACATGACTGGCGATGGCGATGTGCCACCCTTGCCTTTCGGATTCTTGCCCTTGCCTTTGCCGTTCTGGCCCTTCATGTATGTGCTAGTTGGTTTTGAAGTGGAACCTCTGGCTCCTGCATTGGGTGGATGCCATCCTCGTTCACGACGAGATTGCGCAACAGCCTGTCTTGCCTGTTGCAGGTTCCGCTGATTGTCAACCATCATAGCTTGCAAACCATCTTGTTCTTCTTGAAGTTGAGCAAGCAAAGCTGCTTTCTCTGGATCTTGTTCGCCACCATCTTCTTCATCATTTTCCGCTACCTCTGGCTCTTCAGCCCATTCTTCTTCTTGGTAATATCCTTGTTGCCAAACTGAATCTACATTCCAGGCTTCTGTCTGGTACTGGTCATACTCATTCTCCCAGTCATCATAGCCATAGGTCATGTCCATGTCATCGGCCCACGCTGCATAGATGCTCTTAGAAGAACCCTTGCCCTTAGCATGGGGATACCGATCCCGATCTTCATGAAGTGTCAAGAGCGCAGTCCTGATTGCATCATAGCCCAATTTGTTCTGGGTTGATGCTTTCACCAATGCTTTGTCGACATCAGTGTTTGACGTCATCTCCAAGACCATCCAGCCCCTGATGATGTCCAAGGCTGCCAAAGGTATCAATCCTTTGTCCATCAACCTCTCAATCGGAGAAGGTTTCGATGGTGGTGCACTGCTACGACTTGCACTTTGTTCATGGGAACTCTTCCGGGAACCTTGACGTGAACCTGGACTGACTGTGGTTGCTGATTTCCGGGATGCACGATCTTCTTCTTCTTCATCTTCATGATCATCTTCTGCCATTTGCTCTGGAATATAGAAGCTCTGATCTGGACCCATGCCGCAGAACACACGCAACTCAGCTTCATCTGTGTCATACTTAGTGAAGTCCAAAGCTTTCTCACGCAACAATCGCTGAAGAGCTCGCCACATGCCATCATGAGCATGATCTTCTCGCACTAGAAATTGTGGAATTGACTCACCATGTCTACGACTAAGTTTCCTGTAGTACAAACTAAGTTTGGCACCAGCGTCAGGAATCGGTTGTCTATTCATAGGTGAACTTTCCAGGAAGGCGATCAGCTTCTGAATGCCGTTCTCATCCGTAAATTCACTCGGCTCCAGCTTATACATAAGGGTTTTGAGTGCAGGATAATCTGAATCTAGCATTCTACGAATCAACCGCGCTGCTGCATATGGCCTATCTGTCGTTTTAGTGGCTGCAAAATACCACTTAACCTCTTGAATATAATGGTGGAATGTTTCTGGTTTGCCATCCCATATGGGCACACGATTCCCGGCTTTTTCACTCTCATCAGACCCTTTCATGGCCCGGCCTTCCAGAAAAAAGGCCTTGTCAAAGATCCCAGCAGAGCGCGCAGCGACTGGATCCACCAGCTCCGCGGCACCAATGTACCGGGCACCGGAAGATCTGAAGAAAAGAACCGCAAATCTGAAGATCAAAATGAGATGTCTATGGATGATTGGCACTCCGCAAGTGCGCCATGTTTTGACACCGTGGCACGTCTGTCACTCAAGGGGCCCCTAGTTTTTGGGCCCATAGGATTCGGCCATCAAACCTGAACATGTGATTCGAACTGAAGCATGCAACTGAACACAGATAGTGTCCTTCCACTTTGAAACCCCATCAACCAACGCTTGGTTTGGGGATCTTCCATGGTTTTTTCACACTGTTGATTTCTGTTCAAACATGCACCAAACTATTTTTGGTTGGAGTTTGGAGTGAGGATTTAAAGAAGAATCTGGGTCAACCTTTGAAATATATGTTTTAACTTCCAATCATAGGGGTTATATAATGTTAGTTACTCTTGTTTTTCCATTTTGGTCATTTTGGTCCTCCAGTTCTGCAGTCCCATCAACTAAGTAATGATGACTGAACCACCCTTTTTTGGTTGGTTAAACCACC